CGCGGCGCGAAGCCCCCATGCCGCAGCGACACGAACGGGCCACAGCAAAACATCCAGATGGCAAAATCAGCTCTCGCGTCCTCATCGAAGATGAACGGAAGCCAGGAATGGGCCCGAAGCGCGATCCTGTCAGCGAGCTCACGTCGTCGTTGTTCATGCCGAGGTAGGGCGAACGATTTTTTTTCTTGGCGCCTCTCGTGTAGGAGAGCACACGATTCGCATCGCAGAACGGGGGGCCTCGCACGCAACTGACAGGGGCTTCACGCCAAGGGCAACCAAGACCTTCAGAACTCCGCGGAACAATCGAGCGACTGGAACCAGTGCCCGAGTAGCCAGCAGCACGCAAGATACCGCGCGGCATCTCGGGCCCAGAAGAGCCCCAGATCATCGCGTCGGCCTCGCACGAGGACCCAGCGCCGCGTGGCGCCATTGATCCCGCGGAGCACTCAACCGCTGCAGAAAATCCCGAGGAAACGCATGCACTCGCGTCATCCTTGCCACTTTCGCAGGGCAAGAGGACACTTCGGTCAAGACCGACGACAGCACGCGAGGAGCACGAGGGCGAACGAGGTAGGTTCATCACAACCTGCTTAGAAGAACGACCGCGAAAAAGGGCCCCCGCAAACGCTTCATTTTGCCAGGGAACAGGGTAGGGCGTTGAAAAAGCGAGCAGACGCACTGATCGATGGTCACCAAGAAGCAACTGCTGACGGTGAAGCTGCTCGTATACCTTGAGGTATTCTGCAAGAGTCCTCGCTGCCATGCGATTGAGAGCACCGATGCTTGTCGCCAGCCGAAAGGGAACTTGTGGGCCCGCCACGCTCGCATAACTTGAGCCCTGCGGGTATGTTGAAGACGCCCAGCGGCCACCGATATGCCCGCGCCGGCGCCACCAGTCCTTGCCAGAGAAAGGGGTCTGGACTCATTCGAACTTGGGCGACGTAGCCAAAGACGAGAATCACTCTCGACGCGCAGTGCTTGGTGACTTGTGCGACGGAAGACGTGTTGGATCCAATGAGCCCGCATCGCGTTTGGACTTTGGCGATAGGCGCTCACCAACAAGCTGCGTCATCCGCAACAGGCCCCATAACGATGCAAAGATAAAGAAGCGCATCGACTGTGCCCACTAGAGCGAAACCAGGCACCAAGGACCAACTAGCAACACGTACGCGGTCGCGGAGATCACCTGCGAATGCCGCACATTGTGGAACGAGCTTGAAATTGTGCGCGTATCTGCAAGAAGAGCGACACAATACATGAGGCCTTCTGCATGACGCCGTGGACGATCCTGGGACTTTTCAAGGCTGTAAAAAAAGACATCCAATGCCGTCCGCACAAGAACGTGCAATGACGAGTAGACGGTCCTCAAATCTCGCCTGGAGGTATTGAACCAAGCAGGCGGTCACCGCAGCGTACATAGAGCCACCCAACGAGCACTCTTAAATGATGCCCGACTCGATCCACCAAGCATGTTGTGGGAGACCGTCCGTTATGACGATAGCCTGCAGAGTGGTACATAACTGGAAGAGCCTCGCCTCGAAAGCGGGAGGAACTTGCATAGCACTGAAAACCATGCACATGAAAGCCTGAGAGAGGCTGATGGAGGCCGCACGCACATCCAGAGTCATAAGCACAGGCATGCGTGCAAAGATGACGAGCTCAAGAGCGTTTACGCCAAAGTTCCGACCAAGAGTGAATCCTCTCCGTGAGCGTGGCATCCATAGAGGGAGCAGCTTGCTGAACTGCGCCTTGACGCACGAAATGATGACCTTCACGTCCGTGCTGCGAAGCCCTAACACTCTCATGGTGGGGGAAGATCGGGTGCACCCAGATTCAGGCGAGTCCTCGTCATCACATCCTTTGGTGAGCCAGGCCTGCAGCGTGTTGTTCGAGCTGTTGAAAAGAATGCACCACCGCAAGATCCACATCAGCGCGCCTCCAAGAATATCCAAGCCCTTTGGTGCAGCCGTCCAAGCTGCGTACGCAATCGTGTCGATCCCAAGTTCGGAGTCCTTCAAGTGGTAGGCAATACGGCGATCTTGCTGGTGATGGCGGTGGAGCAACGGTGAAATCAAACGGCCTCACATGGATATCTATGTACCTCTTCGCCTCAGCAAGGTCGCCGTCCTTCTTCGCATACACTTGGGCCCAACATTGTATGAGGGCATCAGTCATGTCAACCGCGTTCTAGTGCGTGCTGTCCGTATCAGGCTCCTTGAACGCGCGAAGGACCATGCGACGGGAGAGAGAGAGGACCAGATCGCCGCCCTACGCTCGTGGGCTTGAATGTGATGATTCTCCTGCATCGTGAGCTTGGAACGCTGCGCCCGAGCTTCTAGCTAAATTCGATAGTGCTCAGCGTGCTCTCGTTGAAGTCTCCCTGGCCGTTGCTGAAATGAAGGCGGGTGGCGGAGCTGACCATGCATCGTGTCGAAAAAAATCGGTCGACCACACGTAGGATTCGGTCGGGCTTGTCGCTGCACCTACATCGTCCCTCCAAACAGCACGGAGGGAGGGGGAGGAGAAGGAAGAGGAGGAGGAGAAAGGAGGAGAAAGGAGGAGGAGGAGGAGGAGGAGGCAACGGCGAGCAGAGAAGAAGGGTTTCCACCCTCCCGGCGGAAACGGCAACAGAGCAAGAACCGCAAGCGATCCCCGCCTCCTCCAACCCGGCGGCAAGTGGGAAAAATCCGCGTGGCGCGGGGGTGGCTCCCCTCTTCCTTCTGCCCCATCCTTGTGGAGAGAGGCGAGAAAGATAGGACGGGCAGGAGCAGGAGGAGGATGGGGGGAAGGAGCAGCGGAGAAGGAGGAGGCGGAGGAGGAGGAGGAGGGAGAAGGGTCAAAGCCGAAGTCGAGTCCGAGTCAAGAGCGCCACTGAGCAGTGGCGGGAGTCAGAGGAGCGGAAGCCGCCAAGCCTCGGAGTGGCGAGCCCGCGGGGGCCGACGCGAGGGCGCGGAGAAAGTGGTGGGGGGCCGAGGCGCTCGCGCGTGCGAAGCTCTGCCCTCGACCCTCGAGTCGAGGGGGAGGTGCTCGGACCTTTTCGGCCCCTGCCGGGCCTCCACGAGCTCCTCCGGAAGCCTCTGGAGGCCTCCGGGGACCTCCGGGGACCTCCACCTCCGGGGGGGGGGGGTCAGGATGCGGGGCGGGAGCAAAACTTACCACTCGCGCGTCCCGGCAGAAAGATACGAGGATGATCGGCGCAAAGCTGCTATTCCTCGCACGCCCGCCGCCTGGACCTCGGGCTTGTCTCCTCTCTTCTCATACTGCTGGAAGGCGAGGTGGCCTGAGTAGGAGGGAAGGGGCTACGGCCAGGAGCTTTCGCATAGCGCGTCGCGGCGGCAGCCCAAGCGACACGCTACGCCCCGCAAGCTGACAGTGCGTCGCTCCGCTCCGCGGGGCAGGAAGCTGGGAAGATCTCGGGACGTTGTCGCCCAGCGACCGGGACGCGGTTAGCGTGTCGCGTCGAGGCGTGGTGGGCCAGAACTGGCGCAGCGACACGCTACGGCAAAGTCCCTCACCGCAGGCGGGGCTGTGAGGGCTTTGGGGAGTTCTGGGGGCTCTGCACAGCTCGTGGGTCCCTCCTCGCCCACCTCGAGCTTGCGGCTCTGGCTGCCTGTCACTTATCCCCGTCCCCTGGGCCGCTGGGCGATCCTCCTCCTCCTCCTCCTCCTCCTCCTCCTCCTCCTCCTCCTCCTCCTCCTCCTTCTCCTCGTCCTCCTAATCCGCCTCCTCCTCATCCTCCTGCTCCTCCTCCTCCTCATCATCATCATCAGCAGCAGCAACAGCAGCAGCACCAGCATCAGCATCAGCATCATAATCCTCATAATCAACATCAGCATAAGCATCATCATCATCAGCAGCAGCAGCATCGTCATCATCATCATCGTCATCATCAGCATCATCATCAGTATCATCATCAGCAGCAGCAGCATCAACAGCAGCATCATCAGAATCACAATCATCATCAGCATCACCGTCGTCATAATCATCAACATGTATCATCGCTCATAATCACCATAGCCTCAGAATCATCAAAACCAGAATCGCTGTAACCATCATCAGCAGGAGCAGCAGCAGCAGCAGCATCATCATCATCATCATCATCATCATCATCATCATCATCATCGTCATCATCATCATCAGAGCAGCATCATCATCATCATCATCATCATCATCATCATCATCATCATCATCATCATCATCATTAGCATCATCATCATCGTCATCGTCATCGCTATCAGCAGCAGCAGCAGAATCAGCATCATCAGCATCATCAGCAGCAACAGCAGCTTCATAGTCATCATCATCATCATCATCATCATCATCATCATCATCATCATCATCATCATCATCATCATCATCATCATCATCATCATCATCAGCAGCATCAGCAGCAGCAGCAGCATCATAGTCATCAAAAGCATCAGCCGCAGCGTCTGCATCAGCATCAGCATCATCGTCGTAATCAGCATCGTCATCAGCATCATCATCAGCAGCATCAGCATCAGAATCATCATCAGCAGCAGCATCAGCATCATCAGCATCGTCATAATCAGCATCAGCACCAGCATCAAATCATCATCGTCGTCATCATCAGCATCGTCATCACCATCGTCACCATCAGCATCATCAGAATCATCATCCTCATCCTAATTTCATCATCATAAGAATCAGCATCATCATAATCAGCAGCATCGTCATCATGGTCATCGCCATCGTCATCGTCATGGTCATCACCATCATCGGTATCGTCATCAGCATGTGCTCATCCTCCTCCTCCTCCTCATCATCATCATCATCATCCTTATCCTCATCCTCATCCTCATCCTCATCCTCCTCCTCCTCCTCCTCCTCCTCCTCCTCCTCCTCCTCCTCCTCCTCCTCCTCCTCCTCCTCCTCCTCCTCCTCCTCCTCCTCCTCCTCCGTCCACTGTGCCTCTGGCCGCTGCAGGCGTCGACAGCGATTGGCGACGACGACGTCGCTACCCGCGGCGCGGCCACGACCTCTGGGCGCTGCAGGCGGCCAGGCCGCCGGAGCCCGCGCCCATTGCGCTGGCGGGCGCGCGCGCGCGCTGGGCGCCTCGAGGCATGCCCCGCTGCGGAGGAGAAGCAGGGCAGGTCTAGCCACGACGGCAAAGAGGACGGAGAGGGAGGAGGAGGAGGAGGAGGAGGAGGAGGAGGAGGAGGGGGAGGAGGAGGAGGATGAAGAAGAAGAAGAGGAGGAGGAGGAGGAGGAGTCAGAGGAGGGAAGAGGAGGACGAGGAGGCGGAGGAGGAGGAAAAATGAGAGAGGAGGAGGAAGAAGAGGAGGGGGAGGAGGGGGAGGGGGAGGAGGGGAGGAGGAGGAGGAGGAGGAGGAGGAGGAGGAGGAGGGGAGGAGGAGGAGGAGGAGAAGGAAGAGGAGGAGGGAGGAGGAGGGAGGAGGAGGAGGAAATAGGACGAGAAGGAGGAGGAAGAGGAGGGGCGGCGGAGGAGGAGGAGGATAAGGAAGAGGAGAAGAGGAGGAGGGGAGGAGGAGGAGGAGGAGGAGAAGAAGAAACAGGAGGAGGAGGAGGGAGGAGGAGGATAGGAGGAAGAGAAGAGAGGAGGAGGTGGGAGGAGGAGAGGAGGAGGAGGAGGAGGGAGGAGGACGACGGACGACGACGACGGAGAAAGAGGAGGATGAAGAAGAGGAGAGGAGGAGGAGGAGGAGGAGGAGGAGGAGGAGGGAGGAGGGGAGGAGGAGGAGGAGGAGGGAGGAGGAGGAGGAGGAGGAGGTGGAGGAGGGATGAGTGGAGGATAGGGGGAGAAAGGAAGAGAGAGGAGGAGGAGGAGGAGGGGGGAGGAGGAGGAGGAGGAGGGGAGGAGGAGGGGGAGGACGACGAGGAGGAGGAGGAGGAGAAGGAGGAGGATGATGAAGAGGAGGATGAGGAGGAGGGGGAGGAGGAGGAGGAGGAAGAGGAGGAGGAGGAAGAAGAAAAGATGAGGAGGAAGAGAAGGAGGAGGAGAAACGGGAGGATGGGGAGGAGGTGGCGGAAGATGAGGAGGAGGAGGAGAAAGAGCCGCCAGGAGGCAACAAGCGGTCGCGCCAACGCAATAATGGAAGCATAGTGACCCAGCAGCTGCTCAGAGCAGAAGGATCCGCGTCAGGAGCAGGGAGGAAGAATGAGCGGCAGGAAGAGGATCAGGACGAGGGAGGAGTGGAAGGAGGAGAAGGAGAAGAAGACGCGGGGAATGAGGCGGGAGGAGGGCGCGGGAGCAAGGAAGATGAGGAGGAAGAGCAGGAGAAGTTGGGAGGAGGAGGTGGGAGGAAGAAAGACGAGGGGAAGAGAGTGGGAAAAGGACGGAGGGAAGGAGGGAAGGGGGAGGGCGTTCGAGTCTCGTTGCCGATGGCGTGAAAGCTGCATCCTCCTCAGCCGACGCCTGTGCAGTCAGGCTGGGGTGCTCGCAGAGCTCTCCTCGGCACCTGCGTCTCACCAGTTACGCAGGCGGCTGGTCAGGGATCAGGGCGTGTGGAGTGACTGGCAACAGGTTGGCAGGCTGGGCGGCCGCCGCTGGCAGGAGCGATCAGGCGTCTGCCAGCGCTCCACGCTGTGCTCTACTCGGCGGTTCTGGCCGAGCTGGCTGCGCGCGGGAAAAACCACGACGCGACCGCCGCGGCGGAGCTCGCGGCTCGCAGCCGCCCCGTGCGAGGCTCTGGCCCAAGCACCGCGAACCGAGTCCGCGAGATGCACCGGGCGCCGCGCACTGCTCCCATCTCGGCTGGACGGGGAGAAGCTACCGTGGGCCCGTGAGCCCCTGAGCCCGAGCCGGCATCGGGCCGTGGGCTGCAGCGGGGGACCAGGCCTCGCGTGCGCCGCGCGTGGCCTCGCAGAGGACGGGGCCACCTCGCGCGGGCATCGCCAGGCCGCCGCCGATGGGAGGGCGATCGGGACAGGGGGCTGCGCCCGCGGCGTGCGTGCCAGGCACGCGGGGCGGCCGCGCGCGAGCACGACGGCCCCAACGGCGGCACCCAAGCGCGGGTGCGGACCTCCGAGGCTGGTCTGGCGCGGAGCGCCCGTGGGCGCTGGCACCGTGCAGTCGGCGCGTGCCACGCACGCGCGCACATCGCCCAGGGCCCTGGGAAAGGCCAGCGGGTATTGGCATCCAGATGGGCACTGAGGGGCAGCCTGCTGTACAGAGTGAGGGTCTGGAAAGTCCGGCTGCGGATGTCCAGCGAAGATCTTGGAGAAGAAGAACAGCTGTGACCGCGAGCGGCTCGTACGCGGCCAGATCTCGTCTCCGGCGGCAAGGCTTGAGCGGGACGATCGAGACTGACAAGGATACTTCGCCTCAGAGGTGTTTGCACTCACTGAAGTTGGCGTCGCCCTTGATGTCGAAGGGATCGACCTTGACGAAATGGAGCGCAAGCAGTTCAACGAACTTGTCGAGCGCTTCTAGGATGACGAGGAGGAGGGGCAAAAGGAGGGGGAGTAGGAGGAGCAGGAGCAGGAGGATGCCGAGGCCAAGGACGACGGCAAGGGCGAGTGCGAGTACTCACCTAATTAGTTGGAGGGTGAAAGGGCAGGCGATCATGGCCAAGACGTCGGATGGCACTGAGCAGCAGCAGCACATACCATCAGCAGGACAAAAAACAGCGCTCGACTAATCAAAGCAAGCGATGTTTCGAGCACTGTGAACTCCACCGATCAGTCAGCGAGGCCACCACGAGTTGCCTAAATATCCCGCCCCATGTGGCAGCCCAGGCTACTGGCAACGATGAAGCATTCCGCCACGGCGCCTGCGGCGCAACATGCACGTCAGACTGTCTGGCCATGCTCTGGGAGGTCGTCGACAATGCAAGGGACCGACCCCCGCTGGTGGCACGGCAGCACCCGTGAATCACCCCCTTTCCCCCCACCCCACCCCCAGGGAATGATCGGACCGCGCACCGGGCCCCAGGGCCCTGCCGATAATGCCAAATAGCCCCACGATGGCTCCAGGATGGCCCAAGACGGCCCAAGATAGCTCCAAGATGGTCCAAGTCTGCTCCAGGACAGCCTCAAGCAGTCCCAAAATGGCCCGGAGAGGCCACAAGAAGCTGCAAGATGGTTACACGAAGGACTCATCCTCAAATCCAATTGGCGTTTGCGTTCGAATTTGCTCTCCAAGCAGTCCTTGCTCTGAGGGGCTATTATTCTACTTTGTGCTGCGAAAGCTGGGCCCAGCTTGCCGCAAGTACAGGTGGTCCTTTGGATCTTTATCGGTTGGGGCTTCCTAGGGATCCCTGTGGCGCCCCTTCGCACTGGCCCTATCTGCCGCACTTGCCAGTGTCCGCTTGGATCCCTATGCAGACTGCCTGCAGTAGACACGCGCGACAATAAATTCTGCCATAACAAATCCTGGGGCACGTTCGCCATCTAGTTCTGCACTTCCTGAGGTGCTCCAGGGCTTCTTTGGGCCACCCCGGCCAAAGGGGGAGAGCAAATATTTGCGGGGCACCTGCGGGCAGGCCGGCTTCGTGTTCGATGCGCCCGCTGCACAACTCTCCCCCGCCCACTGGCACTGGTGGCCACAGGCTCCGACTCCCGACTGGATTTCTGGGCTTCGGGTTTCAGCATGTGCTCCTCCTCCTCCTCCTCCTCCTCCTCCTCCTCCTCCTCCTCCTCCTCCTCCTCCTCCTCCCCCCCCCTCCCCCCCCCCCTCCTCCTCCTCCTCCTCCTCCTCCCCTCCTCCTCCCTCTCCTCCTCCTCCTCCTCCTCCTCCTCCTCCTCCTCCTCCTCCTCCTCCTCCTCCTCCTGCGGAACAGTGAAGGCGTGTCTCGGCCTCGAGGCCCCGCGCACCTTTTCTGTCGGCGGCCGCAGGGCGCCCGGACGGCGGTCGGGCAGCGGCGGGGCGCCTCGGGACGCAAGGGAGGAGGGCGAGGAGGAGGAGGCGCGCCTGGGCGCAGAGGGGGCGCAGAGGGGCCGAGGGGACGAGACACGCCTTCACTGTTCCACAGGAGGAGGAGGAGGAGGAGGAGGAGGAGGAGGAGGAGGAGGAGGAGGAGGAGGAGGAGGAGGAGGAGGAGGAGGGCGAGGAGGAGGAGGCGCGCCTGGGCGCAGAGGGGGCGCAGAGGGGCCGAGGGGGCGGGGAGCCACACGCGGGCCAGGAAGGACTTCTCGTGCGCACACCGAGGGGCAGGTAGAGTCGAGGCGCTGGCCCAAGGAGCCCTCAATGAGGAACGGGGCCCCATGTTTCCACGAGACAAGCTTTGATTCCCATCGAAAACCTAAGGAAAACCGCAGGCAAGCTGCAAAACAATGAGGGAACACGGAGCCCCTCCCCAACGAGAAGGGTTCCTTCTTCAGCGCCCCGACTGTGGTGGAAGTGCACGGCAACATGTGTGAGCACGAGCCGAGGCTCCGCACACGGGGCTCCACGCGTCGGGCACCACCACGCGCAGGGGGGGGCCGAGCACGCGAAAGGGGGCCCTCCTCGCTCCGAAGGGTGCCGAGGGCGCAGGGCTCTCCCCGCTTCGAGGCCCGCGCGCATCTCACTACACGACGCTGCGGGTTGGGGCCCACGCGCTGGCCTTGCTTGTCGTACCTTACCCCGTGGCGTCAGGGTCGGCCCCAGATGACTCCTGGAAGGCCCAGGAGGCCCCCAAGACACACCCCCAGGCGGCCCAAGGTACACCTGACGTGGCCGCAAGATGGCCCACAGGCACCCCGAGCCGTCTGCCAAGACGGAGCCGAGACGGCTCCGATTCTGCCCAAGACCGCCCCCAAATGCCCCCCATAGCCAACCCAGAGGGCCCCGAGACTTTCCAAATGGGCCGCCAGATCCCCTGGGGACGCCGAGACGCTTCCACGAGGCCCAGAGAGGGCCCCCACAGAGCCCCCAAGAGGGCCCAAAGAAGGCCCCCAAAGGCGGCCGCGAGATGGCCCTAACACGGGTCCGAATGTTGGGCCACATGAGCGGCCATACCCTCGAAGGCTCACTGGTTGAGATGTTTGCGCGCTGCTTTCCCCCCTGAGGCGACGTTTTCCCATGCGCGGTGGCGGATATGCGCGGCAGCCAAATTGGACTTCTAAGCAGAGGCGCTCTGGCTCCAGGCGGCGAAGCAGCTGCTTGAATTCGAAGTCAACGCTTACGCTGGCAGGACACAAGCATGCTACATCTAGTCATTTTCATGATGCGAGTCAAACATGCATACAAGGCTGGGGTAAAATGACCACAAGTTGTGCTTGCACCAAAACACCAAAACAGCGGATACGACAACGAGTGGTGAAATGGTGACAAGAAGAATCGGAAGATAATGCAGAAGGTGGTCGAGGAGACGGTAAGGCCGACAACGACGACAACGACAATGTCACGGCAAGGCGGAACACTCGGAAACCCCATGGTGGCCCATTTAGACGGCAGCGTTCCGATTACGTTTGATGACCCGAACCAGGAGCGCGACCACACATTTAGCCTTTTGATGTATCGCCGCTACCAAGCCAGACTGGATTCTCGCGCCTTTTTGCAAACAGTTGGACCAGGGTCTGCCAACTTCTGCATCCCTGCGGTTGTTTGTTGATGTTCATGACAGGCTTTGTTGCCTCAAAGTCGCAAGAATAGTTGCCCATCGCCGAACTCACCTTCTCGAGAAATAGCAAGTGATCGGTGCGATCTTCGTCGCCAGATCGCACTGAGATTTGACTTCCTCGTTCGGTCCATTGTCGCATGGTGCTCGTCGTTTGAACCGCGGCCTGAACTGCTGCGCGGTACCCCGATTTTGCCAGCTTCGGCGAATCATCTGGATGCTGACTGCCTCCGCCCTTGAACATCGGTTTGCTGTTTGGGAATGACGGCCAGCTGCTGCATCGGCCTTTGTCCCCTCCTTCCGCAGAGCTGCTGCGGCCCGTTGTGCCACCACGTCGTGCAAAGCGCCAGCCTCGTTTGGGAGGCGCAGCGATTCCGACGCGCGGGGTTGGCAACGCCCTTCTGGGCTCTCCCATGAGGGTCACCACCAGGTATTAGGAAGACTCGGTCAACTGTGTTTCGCTCTTGCGTCGACGTATGCCGTGCAAGCCTCCTCCGCCGCGTAGCATGTGCTCTCAAGCTCCCCCGAGGCGGGCCCCACTTCGCCACGCCAATCGGCGGAATAACCAAAGCAGGCCTCGTTCGAGAAGTCCTTGCGCGCGTCGCGTACTGGAAGATCATGTAAAAAGACGAGCGGGTCCCTTCGAGCAGCGATCGCCGCCAGTCTGGAAGCGCGGATCCGCTCCCAAGGTCGGCAGCACAGCCTCAAGCGCGCCAGCGAGATCCCAGCGCACGGAGTGTCGAAACGAACGGGTGGAATGCGGCGCGAGTCCGAAGCAGACGATCAGACAAGTCCGCTCAGGTCCCCCTGCGTTCAAATCAAAAAGGCGGCGGGCGCGGTTTGCTTGCCAGGTACTTCCACACACGTGTTCTTCTCGGCGGCGAGCCTGCTCCAGCAAGCGGTCAGCGAACGACGGGGCGCGAGGGATGCGAATGAGTGGGCCCGCGGGACGAGGGGGGGGAGGGGCAGGAGCGCGGGAGGGGAGGGCCGCAGGACGACCGGCTCGGGCGGAGGCATTTCGACACATGCACTGCTTATACATCGAGACCGATACATCTATATATATATATATATACGTATACATGTATATATATATATATACGTATGGTGTTTGTATGTATGTATGTATGTATGCATGTATGTATGTATGTATGTATGTATGTGTGTATGAATGTATGTATGTATGTATGTATGTATGTATGTATGTATGTATGTATGTATGTATGTATGTATGTATGTATGTATGTATGTATGTATGTATGGATGTATGTATGTATGTATGTATGTATGTATGTATGTGTGTGTATGTATGTATGTATGTATGTATGTATGTATGTATGTATGTATGTATGTATACATGCATGCATGCATGCATGCATGTATGTATGTATGTATGTATGTATATGTATGTATATGTATGTATGTGTATGTATATGTGCATGTGTGTATATGTATGTATGTATGCATGCATGCATGCATGCATGTATGTGATGTATGTATGTATGTATGGATGCCTGTGTGTATGTATGTATGTATGTATGTATGTATGTATGTATGTATGTATGTATGTTTGTGTGCATGTGTGTATGTGTGTATGTGTGTATGTATGCATGCATGCATGCATGCATGCATGTATGTATGTATGTATGTATGTATGGATGTATGGATGTAGGTAGGTAGGTAGGTACGTATGTATGTATGCATTAGTTTACAGCATGTTCTGGGCGTGCTACTTGCAGAAGCATGCCAGGGACATGGCGGGGAACTGCAACGCTCTGCGACGGAACCTGTGCCAGGCACGGGCGGGGGCTCCACCTCGGCAGGCCCGAGGGGCAGCCCCGGCTCCGGAGCGGTCGGAGGGTGCCGTCCGCAGGGCTGAGCGGTGCCCCTGGAGATGCTTCACGAGCTGAAGCAAGAGAGTCTCCCGAGGATGGAAGTTCAGAGGTGGCTCAAAAGCTCTGGCCCCCTCGAGCCAGAAGGACTCCAGAGTCGACAACTGCACGCGGTACCCGATTCCTATACTAAACCACGTAGCTGCACACATCAGCATCATCTTCATCCTCACCCTTATCCTCAGGATCATCATCAGCATCAGCAGCAGCAGCAGCATCATCATCAATATCATCATCATCATCAGCAGCAGCATCATCATCAACAGTACCATCAACACCATCAACACCATCAAATCATCATCAGCATCATCATCGTCACCATCGCCATCATCATATCCATCATCATCTTGATCATCGTCACCATCATCATCATCATCATCATCATCATCATCATCATCATCATCATCATCATCATCATCGTCGTCATCATCATCATCATCATCACCAGCATCATCATCGACGTCATCAGCATCACCACCATAATCAGCATCAGCATCATCAGCATCGTGAACCTCGTCATCATATTCATAATCAGAATCGCAACCATCATCATCATAATCATAATCATCATCGTCATCATCCTCGTCCTCACCTACATTTTCTCCACCAGCATCAAAATCATCGCCAGCCTCATCACTCCCCATGTAAAGCCGTACCGTAAAGGTAGATAAATCGTTCATGAGGTGCGCAACTCCAGAAAGCCTACATAATTCGCGAGACCGCGGCGAGATAGGCCATCATTCCAGGAAAAAGCGGGCGATATGCCGTGGCTTACGGATCTCAGTTGCGACTATAGCATGCAACGCGGTTCGTCTCCCTCTCCCCCCGAGCTTCAAGCTCAGGAGGAGTCCGACGACCCCAGCACTGCCAAGGGTGAATGGGCGTGTCAAGTTTCTGACGGTCACATCCCAGCTCATGCGCCTCCCACGGGATCGCACATAATCCCTCTTGACACAGGAACCTAAAATGGGCAGCCGGGCCCCCCATGAGGTCACATAATAGATTCAATGGCTCCCCAAGCCGCCCAAGATAGCCCAAGATTGGCATCGAGGCTTCGACTATTCGACTACGGGCCCACTATGGCCACAAGAGGCCCCAACATGATCTCCCAGAGAGCTCGAGATCTGCAAAACGAAAAAACATAACACATACGGATTCCGAGGGGCTCCACATCTTAACAGTATGGGAGCAGACTCAGGGATCGAACGGGCAAGCTCGAGTACAAACATGGGAAGGAGACCCTAAGGGAGGAGCCGTTTCTACGTGGTGCAAGACATGGGCTCAGCGACGCAGAACGCGCGCCACCGCCCCGTGGAGGTGAGATGTGTGGCGGGCGGGTGGGAAAAACGGGAAAGGAGCCGACTCGAGCCCAGGGGCTGCGAGACCAGGGCTTCGACGGGAAGGACAGTCCTATGGCTCTGCACGGGCACCATTTGGTTCAAGCCTGCGCACCAACCTGAACAGGTTCCCAAGGATCCCACCCTTTCTAACAGGAAGGGAGCGTACTCCGGGATCACACGAGTAAGCTCGAGCAAGAACGTGGGAAGGACACCCGAAGGGGAAAACCGTTTTTACGCAGAGCAAGAGATGGGTTCAGCGTCGCAAAGCGCGCGCCACCGCCCACCACCAAAAAGTGCATGGTCCAGCCGGCCCCTACGCTCAAACCTCATCACCCTACCTGGCCAGTCCGGGAGCAGGGCCCCCGAACCATACCGGCGGCTCTGCCAAGCCCAGAGAGGCGCCGGGGTGGGGCCCTGACTCCCGCCGACGAGACGGGAGCTGTCCGCCCAGGCACTCTTGGGATCCTTGCACGCATACAGTGCGGGCGCGGCCGCAAGAAACCCTCACAAGAAACCCAACCCTGAAAGCCCGCGCGCGGGGTGCACCCGAGGGGAAGCCTGGAGCACCGTGAACGCAGCAGCTCCTCCAACGGCTGCGGGAAGTCACCGCGCAGCGCGCTGAGCGAAGAAACCCAGGGTACAGTCGAGGCGTTGACCTAAGGAACCCTAAATAAGGAACGAGGCCCCTATTTTCCATAAGTTGAACTTCGATTTCGTATCGAAGACCTAAGAAAAATCCAGGCCAGGCTGTGAAACAATGAAGGAGCACGGAGCCCCTCCCCGACGAAAAGGGTTCCTTCTTCAGGGCCCCGACTGTACCCTGACGAAAAGTAAATGGTTTCTTGATGCGCGCCCCCACTGTAAACCGGGGGCGGCCAAGAGGGGGGTGTCCAAGAGGGGGGGGTGCAAATCATGACCGGCGGCATGTGCGCGGCCCAGGTGGGGGGCCAGGGACGTCATAAAACAAGAAGAGGCGCCACGAAATCTGGGGAGATATCATGGCCCGCGCCATGATATCCACCCCCCCCTAGTCATCACCCCCCTCTTTTCCGCCCCCGCTGTAGACACAGGCACGCCCAAGATGCCCCGAGCCAGCCTGGGAGGGGAGCGGCCAGGGCACGGAGGGCGACGCACCGCCCATCCCATGGCGCGAAGCCTCTTCGCAGGGGGTGGCCCCCATGGGCGCTCGGCCGCTCGGGAACTTGCCCGGGGGCCACCCTGGCAGGGAGCGCAGGAACTTGCCTGTCCCCCTGCAGGGGGATTTGGACGAGAAAAAAAAAAAAATGTATTTATATATATATATATATATATATATATATATACATATATACCCAAAAATACTTCAAAATGGTAGCTTCCAGAGCAAGCAGGGGCGGGCACACGTCTATGCCTGACTCTCCTCTGCGGCCACCCCCTCAGGCGCGGGGCGTCCGAGGACCGCGCCGCCCTGGTCCTCCCGCCACCGGGCACGCACCCCCTCATCCTGCCCCAGACGATCGGCGCTCACCATAGCGAGCTGGCACTTTACGCGGACATCGCCGCCGCGAGCCCGTCCTGCGGCTCCTGGGCCCCGCACAGGTAGACGTGCAAGGCGCTGGACCTCCACCGGTCAGACCTTTCGAGCCTCTCCAGGTCCGG